GTTGCCCAGGCTGGAGTGCAATGGCACAATCTTGGCTCACTGCAACCTCCCCCTCCCCGGGTTCAAGCGATTCTCCTGCCTCAGCCTCCTGAGTAGCTGGGATTACAGGCGTGCGCCACCACGCCTGGTTAATTTTGTACTTCTAGTAGAGACGGGCTTTCTCCATGTTGGTCAGGCTGGTCTCAAACTCCTGACATCAGGTGATCCGCCTGCCTCAGCCTCCCAAAGTGCTGGGATTACAGGTGTGAGCCACTGTGCCCTGCCTGTTTTGCTTTTTTATCAAAACTTTTTGTTGTGGTAAAATACACATAACACCAAATGTGCCATTTTAATTCAGTGGTATTAAGTGCATTCATAATGTTGAGATACCAACACCATCATCCAGCTCCAGAAGTTTTTCGTCTTCTCAAACTAAAAATCTGTACTTGTTTTGTCTTGTTTTTGAGATGGAGTCTCACTTTGTTGCCCAGGCTGGAGCGCAGTGGTGTGATCTCGGCTCACTGCAACCTCCGCCTCCTAGGTTCAAGTGATTTCCCTGCCTCAGCCTCCCGAGTAGCTGCGATTACAGGCGAGTGCCACCATGCCTGGCTCATTTTTGTGTTTTTAGTAGAGACTGGGTTTCACCATGTTGGCCAGGCTGGTCTTGAACTCCTGACCTCAGGCGATCCACTGCCTCAGCCTTCCAAAGTGTTGGGATTACAGGCCTGAGCCACTGCACCCAGCAAATCTGTACTTATTATAAACAATAACTTCCCGTTTCCTTTTCTTCTGATACCCACCATTCTACTTTCTGTCTCTATCATCCCAACTACGCTACTTCATATAAGCAGAATCATTCAGTATTTCTCCTTTTGTGATTGGCTTATTTCACTGAGTATAATGTTCTCACAGTTCATCCATGTGATAGCATGTGTCAGAATTTCTTTCTTTAAGGTTAATATTCCATTGTATGCATGTGCCACATTTCGCTTTCAGTAGTCATTTTTAAGCTCTATAAAATAAAGTGAAGAAAGAATAGTTCACAATCTAGTAATAGCCATTGCCTGTTTCTCTTGCAATCTTGTTGGAAATGATAGGATCATGATTTCAGTCCCAACAGAGATGCTTGTGGAGGAACAGCCCATCCCTTTCTTGGGGCAGCCTCATTAGGGAGACGATAGCACTCCTAATGGAGTCACAGGTAGTATTCCAAAAGGAGTTTGGCCCTGGAGTTGAGTAGTTACATGCAGGGAGGGACCTCACAACAGCCAGGGACTGTTTCTCCTGCTCATTTAACCCTGTGTTGCCCCACACAGTATCGTGAAGAGCGCTTCCGACTGACAAGCGAGAGCACCAACCAGAGGGTCCTATGGTGGTCCATTGCTCAGACTGTCATCCTCATCCTCACTGGCATCTGGCAGATGCGTCACCTCAAGAGCTTCTTTGAGGCCAAGAAGCTGGTGTAGTGCCCTCTTTGTATGACCCTTCCTTTTTACCTCATTTATTTGGTACTTTCCCCACACAGTCCTTTATCCACCTGGATTTTTAGGGAAAAAAAATGAAAAAGAATAAGTCACATTGGTTCCATGGCCACAAACCATTCAGATCAGCCACTTGCCAACCCTGGTTCTTAAGGACACAGGACATTAGTCCAATCTTTCAAAATCTGTCTTAGGGCTTATGAGGAATCAGAACCCAGGACTCAGTCCTGCCTCTTTTGCCTCAAGTGATTTTCCTCTGTTTTTCACTAAATAAGCAAATGAAAACTCTCTCCATTACCTTCTGCTCTCTTTGTCCACTTACGCAGTAGGTGACTGGCATGCGCCACAGAGCAGGCCCTGCCTCACTGTCTGCTAGTCAGTTCTGGGTTCACTCAGTGGCTTTGTGAATGTAAATAAGGGGCAGGTCTTGGCCCTAGAGGATTGAAATGTTTTTCTATATCTTAGAACTATTTTTGGATAAATTATATATTTTCCTTCCTAGTAGAAGTGTTACTGCCTGTGACTAGCTCCAAACACCCATGCAGTTTCTGCATTCTGGGTTTTTTTAATTTATTTTTTTTGAGTTTTGCTCTTGTCGCCCAGGCTGGAGTGCAATGGCATGATTTCAGCTCACTGGCAACCTCTGCCTCCCGGGTTCAAATGATTCTCCTGCCTCAGTCTCCTGAGTAGCTGGGATTACAGGTGCCCGCCACCACGCCCAGCTAATTTTTGTAGTTTTAGTAGAGACGGGGTTTCACCATGTTGGCCAGGCTGGTCTTGGACTCCTGATCTCAGTTGATCCACCTGCCTCAGCCTCTGCATTCAGTTTATTCACACATTTTTAGTTACTCCCATGGCAGCTCCTAGGATTTCAGTGGTCTGTGGGCCAGAAAGCAGGCATTGGGTCTGATCTCAAGGCTGTATCAGAGGGCCAAGCAGAGTTCTTTTGGATACCTGCTTTTCATCCCACAGGGCCTCAGAGTCAGAGGTAAGGTAGCAACAGAGCTAGCATGGGTTAATGCACTCTTACCCTCCTTCTCAACTTTTATTTAAGCTGTGCTAAATGTTTTCTTCGAGGGAACCAGATTTGGTTCTTTGCAGAATTTTCCAGTGAAATAAAACATGTTGTAATAGCTGCGTTTGAGATGAAATAAGAGGTTGTGGGCAGACGGGAGGCACCTAAAGGAAAAGAGGAAAGGTGCCTGGACTGCCTATGCAGATGACCTGGAGTGGACTTCACTATGGACTCGTGGTGCTAAAGCTTGGCTTGAACAGGCAGTCTAGGGGACATGGGAATACACAGGGTGGTTGCTCAGTCATTTGCAAAGGTCAACCAAATAGAACACACATTTGCAAGATATCATCTGAGGAAATTAAGTACCTTCTTAGCCATCTGAATCATAAATTTGAACAAATATACTTCCCTCATGCCCTTCTGTATAAAACTTAATACCATTAGTTCCCCATTCTTGACATTTTATTTCAGTTATTATATATTTATTTGAAATATTAAATTACCTGACCCACAGAACTAAATTCTTCTTTTGTTATTTATGTCCTGTACCATATATATACTTATATATAATTTTTATGTTCATTTGAGACAGTCTTGCTCTGTCACCCAGACTGGAGTGCAGTGGCATGATCTTGGCTCACTGCAACCTCTACCTCCCGGGTTCAAGCAATTCTGCCTCAGCCTCCTGAGTAGCTGGGATTACAGGCACCTACCACCACACCCGGCTACTTTTATATTTTTATTTTATTTTATTTTATTTTATTTATTTATTTGAGATGGAGTCTCACTCTGTCGTCCAGGCTGGAGTGCAGTGGTGTAATCTTGGCTC